CGTCAGCGTGGGAGAAGCGCCAGCAGACCCGGGCAGATGAGACGCAGGCGCTTGGGCGCTTGGGCGCTTGGGGGCTTTGCTTCTGTGGGTGTGCTCTAACATAATGTTAACCCCGGATCTAAGTAGAACCCCTGGTTGATTTTGATTGGGGGGTGTCCCCCTTTAGTGGGGATTCAGACCACTTTTGGAGGGAACACCCCCCTAATAGTGGGACGGGTTTATTAATCCTGGGTCAACATTGCTGTGGATGGACGAAATCCATTTCGCACCACCTAAGAAACCCTGGAACAATGAGCCCCCTGCAAATACCGGCGAACAATGGTTTCCCCATCCATAGTAGGGAGCCCAACGGGTTTGTTTCCAGTTGGCTGTAAACGCCTCTGGCTCAGGCCGCCGACATTGGAGGCCTGGTTTCTTTGGATCCATTTGGCAAGTTCTAGTAGGTAGGAAATGGAAGGAACAGGAAACCAGTGACAAACAGAAGGGAACCTTTTTATGGGAATAGGAAGCCAGCATTGCATACCTGCGTCAATGTTTTGTCGGTGGGTCCCACGTTTAATGGTAGATATAGCCCATTACAGTAGGGAACCCACCACCATAGTAAATACCCCCCCCCCCCAAACAAAAAAGGAAATATACAAATATATATATATATATATAATAGCACCTCCCTCCCCCAGAATTCCTTTTGGCTTCCCTTTAAAGCCAGCCAAAAGGAAACCCCGAAATCCCCAACCCTCCCTCCCTTCACCCAACCGAAGCCCCGGAAGCCCTGAAGCAGGCGGTGTCCAAGGCCATCGAGGTCCTCGACGCCGAGAGCTCCCACGAGCTCTTCGGCGCGGGGCCCAAGGTCGCGAAGCCCGCGGGGCCCCGCTGGCTTTGGATGTTTGTCTTGTTTTTGAGGCGAGGGTGCCTCTTATGTTTCCTCTTTTTTTTGGTGATTCACGAGGGTACTCTTCTTTCGGGGGCATGGCTTTAAAGGTAATTCCCAGCTGGCCGCGGACGGCTTTTTGGGTTTCTGAGTTGCGAGGGCGCCTCTTGGAAGGGGATTCCACGAGAGGGTACTCTCTTTTTTTTGGGCGGGGGGGGGGGGGTGGTTTTAGAAAGGTAATTGTAAACGCTGCGCGTTGCCCGCCTCGGCCAAGCCGAGCGCGCAGCGTCTGTGGTTCGACTGCAAGCAGCAGAGCTGGTCAAGTGGCGATTCAGGCATGGACAGGTTCTGGCGTCGGACCAATTGATGTCATGGGCCCGCAGGAATCCCCGAGGCAAGGGCAAGGCGATGCACAGGACAGGGCGAGCTGGGCTGGGTCTTGCTTGGGTGGTTGTTGGCTGGCTGGGCCTGAGGCGAGTCTCAGACACCTTGGGCTGGGCCCGAGGCTAGTCTCAGACATGTGAGTCTAGTCTCAGACACCCTTGGCCTTCTTGGGGCCGAGGCGAATTCCAAAAGCGAGCTGCGGAAGTGTCGCGGCCCAGTCGTGGATGCGCCTGGTTTGATTCTCGAGCCAAGCGCCTTCCGAGGCAAGACCATGAGCTTGCTGCAGATGAAGAGCAAGCAGGAGCACAGCCAAGGGAGTGGTTGGAAACGGAATGCAACAAGCTAAGTAGACTTGTTCCTGGGCTGCCAACAAAGCCCGATAAGGCTTAAGTAACCACAAGGAGATTGCTTTTTGTTTTGGAGACCCGTACTCCGTTTTTGCTGGCATCCTGTGGGTTAGTTGTTGATGCTGGGCGTGTCCAGCAATGGGATGGGCTTAGGGATGTTTGCTATATGACTCATCCAATATTTGGCGTGTCGCTGCATTGGGAAAGGCCGCCATTCCCGTTGTTCTGAATTGGCTTCCAGCGTTTGTTTAGCCTCTCCAGGGCCCCCCCCTTTTGAAAGAGGCTTCAACCAATCCGAAAAGGATACCGTCATGCAGAGACGTTTGATTGTTGGAGCAGATTTGGCATGACCCTGGTCAAACGGCTCACTCATCGTTTTTTTCATGGAGCCGCGCCTTCGGAAAGAAAAAGGATGCAGCTTCAAAGCCAGTTGGGCAGAACCAGTGCGACTACATGGTTTGCAGCCCAAACGGAGCCGGTCGCCCCTGCAAAATGGGTTGAGCGGGTGGCTTAGTTTCCTTGTGACAGCAATCCTCAAAAGGAGGTACCATCAAAAATGGACACCCTGCCCAAGTTCATTATGGCACCCAAAAAACTTTCATGTGAAGCACAACCTCCTTTTGGGAAAGGACCTCCTGTTTCATACTTTCAGGGGAATCATGTTGCTTGGGCAGGGAGCGCGCTGATCTGTTTTCTCGTTTGTGCGTTCTATTTTTCACTATCGTCTGGGCAAGAATCGAAGATCTTTCTCTCATTTTGTTCGGCTCAAAAGCTGGTCTAGATTAGGTGTTAGGCAACTAAACCGGTATCACCTGTCTAGATAAAAGCCGGTCTAGATTGGTATGTGCCACCAGGTTTTCACCCATGGCCAACCTACCGGGGCTCGATTCGCCCGAAAGAATTCCCCCGCACCTTCCCGCCAGGCAGACCCTGCGCGGCAGCAGCAGATCTATGAGAAGCTGCTGGCCGCCGGGAAGAAGCACGCAGCGGCCTCGGGCCTCGACGTCGGGGTATTGGGGTGGCTGGTCTTGGGCTCGGTGCCCTTTTTGGGTTGGCTCGGAGGATGTTTGTATTGCACCCTGGGATCCCAAAATGGCTCAAAATAACACGGTTTCATCCGGAAATGTGCCTAAATGAGCTCAATACCCAGTGGGTGTATTCCCAGGGTGCAATACCAAAAAAAACCCTTAGATTGGCGGTGAAAGGGAAACCAAAAGGAAGGCGGGGGCTTATTTTCAGACGCACCCAGTGTTGCTCCCGTAGTCATGGCGAAATTATGTGTTGGAGTGCGCCCCACAATCCCTGAAGATTTAGGCGCTGATATTGCACTGATGGAAGTCCCTTTCTGTGGGGAAGCTGCTGATGAAACTGGGGGCGTCATGCCATCTACTTTTACCAGCTGTTCTTGGTCGGCTTTCAACTGGGCCAATACGAGCTCACTTTTTTTTAAGGAGCCCATACTTGGCAAAGGACATTTCCTGTTTCGATTCTAGAATTATAGTGCAGATTTGTTCTCCTTGGGCGACCTTTGGGAAGACCCACGTGACAGCCCCAACAACTGTAAGGAACCTGCTTTTAGCGGGTGCCACTTTTTGGGCATGTTGGGTGGGCCCCGAACTCTTGACTGGCAGCTCAGCCTAACCAGCTGGGTCTGTGTTTTTCGAGGGTACCCGTTTCGGGTTTGGTTTGGATCGGGAAGCCGAAAGGAGAACTAACAATTTTTGAGGCCACCCTATTCTGACACATACCCATGGTAGGAGAGATCGAGTGGAAATCTGATGCAACCGCTAATCTAGGGGTACCTTCCCCATTCTTTCCAGGCATCCTTCTTTCCAAAAAACCACCCAAAACCCTGGGGAAACAGCTGGTTTTTGAAAAGAACGATAGATGAGCAGAATGGGGAATCAACCCCTAGAGCTAAGACAAAAACCCAAATTCGGTCCGCAGGATCAGCGGCTGGTGACCTTGTCGCTGGAGGCCAAGTTGGACGGCCTGGGCCAGGCGCGAACGGGCGAAACGCCGAACCACCGCGCAGCTAAGCAAACTTGAAACAATGGTTGGGTGAGCTTTTGTTTCGATTTTGCGGGGGCCCTTGTACCGGGTCCAACCACGAGAGGGAACAGGGAAAAGGCTCACCACCGACGCAAGCATGGTGCAGGAAAATGGTCTACCAAGTCTATGGTTGTGGAAATTGGGTCTACGCTGCTTCTGTGATACCAAGGGAATCCCCAGGGTGGCTCCATGCTGCTGGCGGACAGTGATCAAGCCCTGACAGGATGGCATCCCATTTTGGTACCACAGCTTGTGCAGGTCCCATGACTCCGCAAGGAAAAGCGAGATGATGAGTTTCTCAGGGTCCATCTCTGGGGTTTTCTGGGGGGCAGACTCTCCTCGGAGAATGATGCTCCAAAGGCTCCTCGTTTGCCTTCCCGTCGTGTGTCGGCTCGAGAGGCCGTCCCTTGGATCGAGCGCCAGACATGAAGTAGCTCGCATCAAAATGGTCACCACACCAGAAATCACCGGTTGGGAATGGGTTGAAAAGACACACTTAAACGGGACCGCAGGTTTTAGTCCTTGCTTCCATTTACCCAAGATCCATTTTGGGTACCTATGGATGCCTATTTTGGACCTACAGCTAGCTGTCTCTTGGCTTTGGGGAGAGACGAGGATGGGACCAAATGTGAATTCCTCAGCGCGGCAAGCGGCCTGCGCAATCCAAATGATCCTGCTCCGCAAGCTGCCCGAAACAGGCCCGCCCTTTTTTTCAGAACCCGAGCTTGGCACCCCCTTCAGAACCCCTTTTTAGCCACATTGCACGTCTACCCACACGCACATGGGTATCAGAAAACCGCAGATTATAGTCCATGTTTCCACTTCATTATCAGGGTTTCATTTTGGGGTAAATCGATCTTTGACCCACAGCCATGTTAGTATACACTGTATACTGTTCACACTAGCCATGTGGCGATCGCTTGCAGCCTGCGCCGTGCTGGCGCTGGGGCTGTTTGGGCACGCCTGGGGCCCTGTGGAGGTTGCCGGAAAGTGTTTGCCGTTCTTTGTCTAAGCTGATTCATGGTTATCTTTGCCGTTCTTTGGTCAAGTCTCTCACGGCTCTTTGTCTTGCATTTGCGAAAGTTGATCCATGCGGTTTTGCAAAAGAAGGCCAACATATCAAGGATTGGGCGAGCGAGTGCTCGATTTTGTCAACCGACGTCCCGATGTTTCGCAGCTCAAGAGGCCTCGGGAGGCCACCCGAAAGATGAGCTCTGGCTCCAAGGCATCCGCGTGGCAGTGGGACAGTGCAGGTCGTCGACTCGACGATAAATCGACCGGTCCGGCGCTCTGGGTATGACTCAAAGTGTGGGATAGGTTCGGCTGCATCATCTATCCTCTGATGTATGGGCTCCGAAGCCTAGGAGTATGTTAAGCCTCAAGAGATAGAGAGCCCGGACCAGTATCAAGCCACTTGCCTTTTGACCCCGAGCCCGGTTTGGTAGAATCAAGGGACCCCCGGATTAGAAAAGGGCATCGACCCTGCGACAATCACAACGGAGTCCCATGCCCATTGGAGGTTGCCGCTGTATCAAGCGAGTTTTCAACTTGCCACAAGTTGGGGAGACTTCAGCCAGCGACTGCAAAACGAGGTGACAGTCCCAGCACGCTGGGTGCAAATCCAACTTCTGCCGGCGCGAATGACGACACAATGCGACACCCGTCTTACCCCAGCAAGAGTGTGCTCGGCACTGCCGAGCAGGTGCTTTCACCATGTCCGAAATCTGGCGCATCGCGCACGCTTTGCTTGAGGCCTGGTGCCCAATGCCGAGCAGGCTCACTTCGCCGCTTGGCAGGTTGGCTTAAACCAAACGACTCTCATAGAGGTGCGCTGGCACTTGCAGCCCAACGCTTGTGATGGAGAACCTTTAAGTGCTATATCAAGCAATTCTTGGCGACCATTCACCCAAGCAATTCTTGGCGACCATTGGCTCAAACCAATCGTTGACACTGACTACCTTGCATCCGATTCTTACGCCCAACTTAAACCAACAACAACGGGTTCCAACCCAAACTCTATCCCCGTCCCCAGGCCTTCCCGCTGCCGCCCCGGCGCCGCTTCCACCGCTTCCGCCGGTTCCGAGCGCCGGTTCCGCACCACGGCGCGGCGCGGGCTGCGGCGGGGCGCGCGGGAGGCGGCGGCGCGGCTGCGGCGGTGGTGGCGGGGCAGCGCCGGCGCCCAGCGGCGTGGCGTAAGGAGTTAGCGAGCGGGGGGAACCAAAAGGTGCCAAAATTTGAGGTACCCATTCTTGTGGCTTGAAATGGATTTTGGCCTACTCGAATTGGGAGCAATTGTGCCCCTGGAATTCCAGTCGTTCCTTTTTCCCTTTTCGGCAAGAAGCCTGGAAACCAACGCCCCTGAGTTGGCTGCAACATAGACAAGTGTCCATCATAGTTGGGTAGGGGACCCTTTGGGATTTGGTTTGAACAGGGTGGGACACTAACCTCTCAGGACAGCATGGGGAAAAAGGACAAATGGGTTTTCAAAATCTGCTCTTGGTTGTTTGCCCCAGTCACTCGCAGTCAAACCGTTTCGGCTTGGCTTTTGCAGCAACAAACCGTCAGTGCGTCGCAGGGGTGCTCCAAAATGGCAAAATTTGGGGACCCCTGTTTGATAGAGAAAGCAAACATCAACCCACCCTTCCATGTGGGCGGCACTCAAATGCGCAAACAGCGGGTAACGTAGAAACCTTCTTGACGTTTGGCTGCTTTGTGTGGAACCTCTTCTTTTGGGCACGCCGTTGACCAGCCCTGAGGCTGTTCATCCCACCCTTCAGCAGGTTCTTAGCTTTGGGCCTGTAGGTATCTATTATATTGACTATGAAGCTTGAATTGGTTGCTGGCCTGATGCGTCCAAGAGGGGGTACCATCCTTGGATTCCACCTCTATCGAGTGGCAAGATCTAAAGGCAGGATGCATGAACACGCATGTGAGCTCCTGGTATGAACCCTAAGTTCATGGATGAATTAGCCACGTACTGAGGCCAACATGGGCATAGTTTCACACGTGGCCTGTACAATGAGCCTCTGGATGCTGTGAGGACGCATTCGCCAAGTTGGCGTCTGTTCATGGAAGTTCGCGAACCTCTTGGGTCGGAAGGGGCATTAGTTTGGAGATGGGAATCCTTCGATCCTAAGAATATTCTTTCGGGACCTTGGTGGTATATTGTGGTGTGGGGGGGGGGATCTCGGTTTCCTTTCTAATAGCTGTTTAAAAGCTGTTCTTTTCTGTCATGGGATTGTCATGACTGGTAGTAATGATCCCCAAAAACCGCTACAAGGTTTGCCAAGCCCACAGCTAGCCTGCTTTCGTGTTTTTTTGGTTGCCCAGTTGCCCATGGCTGGGTTGAAATATATTGCCCAAGCCTTATGGGGAAAAGCCTCGCTTTGAGGATCCTTTCCGATGTGGATGACACCATCAAGTGCTCCGGTGGGCCCATCGGCGGTGGTGTGGATGAGCGCCTCGGCTCTTTTCGCCAGGAAGTCCCCCAGCCACTTGCTAGAGTTGTGGCGGGGTGCCGTAACATTGGGACCTGGTCATTTCTATGCCCAGAGTTCGGTGACCATTTTGCTCTTTGGGCCGTTTGTGCTTGGGTTTTGTTGATGTCAGCTATACGTCCGCCAGCATCTGATCTTTGCTGCATTTTGCTTGGATGTTAGAGCTTTCACTTTTTGCCAACTAATGGGTTTTCCCATTAAACAGCTAAAGTTTATTCACTTTTAGCAGGGGAGCAGACCGCAACCGAGTGATGTTGGTTTTTGCTTGCAGTCCAACTCCTGGCCGCTTTTTCTTCTTCTTTTTTTTTCTCCTCGAGAACCACGGCTGTCCACTCAGAGCTCCAGTTCAGGAATATGCCCCGTTTCTCTCATGTTTGGGGTGTCTGCGAGTCGGAGACCAAGAAAAATTTGGAGGCCTGAAGGTTTGGCCTTTCGTCTTTGGATCCGACCCCCCGGATCTTTTCTCGCCAAATCGGAGACCAAATGCCATAGAAATCCAAAGGCCTGGCGGCTTGGATCCACTCCCTTTGAGATCCTTGGGAAACGGGTCGGGATTTTTTTCCCAGCGGCGGTTTGCTGGGGGACTAACTGATGGATAGGACTGCACTTGATTGCCCACTACTTCTGATCGTTCTGATGTGCTGTTTTCACAATGCATTTTAAACCAATGCATTGGTTTTGCGGAGGGTTTTGCTGAAATAGGAACCCGACTTGCTGGCAGAAGCATGCTGAAGTAGAAATCCATTAGGATGTCCTCATATAGGACTAGGCGGTTGGCGCACTGAACCTTACACCGCTACATGAAGTTGGGCCGAATTTGCGGTCGTCTCTCTGAACTTATTTTTGGGGAGTCACTACATTCCCTGCGGAAACCTAGGGTTGGAGGATTTTCTTGCATGTGCACTTGACTTCTTGGTCTGCGACCTCACCCGTGAAGGTTCCTTGCTTGAACAAAACTGCTTATGTGGGTGGGTTATTGTAACTTGCCTGGACCTGGTTTCCCTTTGCTGGCAGCTTTGCCCTTTCAACTTTTTGGAACATGATAGTCGTCCCACTGGCAACAAGTCAAGGTCATTCGTTGCTGATCCCCTTGGTCGTTTTGATGTTGCCGCGCATTTCGCAGTGTGATCTTTTCCAAAGGCAAGCCCTGAACCGGAGCGCCCCCCCGCCCAAGAGTATCCCTCCCACTCCTTCCATTTGCTTAATATTTCTACGAACTCATTTTGATTCTAAAGGGAACCTATCACTACTGGACATATTTTCATTTTTTCCAGGGGGACCTAAGCAGCAAATTTTGATGACTCGCGAGGCTCAGAGAGCCAAAGGTCAAGCGGTTCAGCGGTTCAACGTGGCTCGGCCCGCGCCCGAGGTCGGGGTACCGGAAAGAGATCTACCCCGGGGCGGTGCAGTTCATATTGGAGCTGGCGCGGGGCCGTGAGCTGCATTGGGCGCCCCGCAGGGTGAGGCTGCTGTCCGCCAGGCGATTTGGGGTTAGTTGTTTTTTCTTCTTCTTTTTTTTAAATAACTTTATTTTATGCATCTTTTCTGAGATCTGTTTTGTTTCTTTTCTTGTATCTGTTTTTTTTGGCGGGGGGGGGGGGGGGCGGGGGCGAGGTTAAGGGTTGGACATTGGTTGCTTCGATTCTTTTGGTCTTGCTTTCGGGCGTGCTTTTGGGGGTGTCTTTTGACGAAGGGCTTTGGGGAGGTTGGTTCGGGGCGGTTTGGAGGTTCCCCTTGGCACCCGGCTCGGCATCAACCAGTGGGGCAATCTGAGTTTTGAGTTGTGTGAGTGCTTGAGCATGTCTTGAGGCGTTGGATTCGAGAGGGCTCGCTTTGATTTTTCCTCACTTGAGTTTCCGGGATTGTTACTTTTGGAGACCAGCTGAGTGGCAAACCGCCGGTCTTGTCGGACTTTCATGTGGCCAAGCCTTCCAGCTGCGTTTCAGAATCTGGTTTTAGTTTCCCCCGGTTCAGGGACGGAAAACATCTATCACTGGACTTGTTTTTTTGCCTCTCCCTCAATGGAAGACCTCCATGGGAGCGAGTCAACTACTTGGGGTGTGGCCCAAAATCCCAGGCCCCAGAAGCTGGGCTTCCTCCGGATGAAGCCGGGCAGCCGGGTGGCCGAGGAGTTCCGGCGAGTGGGGGAGGCGGGGGGGCCATGGGATCGCCCGCGCGGGGGGGCATAAAACGCGGAACGCGGAACGGGGGGGGGAGTTGTGAGCTTTGGCGCATTTTGCTTTGTTAGAACTAATGGGTTTTCCCATGAAACCACTAAAGGTTATTCACCTTTAGCAGGGGAGCAGAAAGCAACTGAGTGTGGATTTGTTGAAACGACGAGGAGTTCCAAGGCAAGCTCGAAAGGAATGATGAAGCAGCACAGGGGAGCTGAGCAGAACAACAATTTGGGTTAGGGTTTAGGGTCCCAAACGCCTGGAAAGCTAGCTAGTTTCATTGTTTTCTGTGGGCTTGAAATACATTGGGGAGGCCTGCTGCTTCGAAAGAATCCCAGAAGGCGAGGTTTTGAGAACTCTGCATCTTCGTGCACTTAGCATTTTGGTTTGTGGCTTTACAAGTGGACCCAGCGGGCATGGCGGATTGGCTGGCTCAAAAACGCGCCGGGCCTTGAAAAGTTGTCCACACCTCGATTCCTTTGGTCTCCCCTTGCGGGTATTTTAATGTTAACCCCGGATTAACAAACCCCTGCTTGATTTTGACAGGGGGGTGTCCAATTCCTTTTAGTGGTTGGGTCCAGACCACGTTTGGAGGGAACACCCCCCAAATGGGACGGGTTTATTAGTCCTGGGTCAACATTATGCTCAAACGGTATGTTGGAGGGTTGGACCCCTCTCCTGCCTTGCTCGCCCTGCACGATGTCTCGGCTTGTACCTTCACAGGCGCAGCACTTGTCCCATTACTTTTCACTCTTTCGCCCGGGTTTGCTTCTGGACAAGTAGGTGGGCCTTCTCAGGCATTCGAGTCCTGGCCAGTGCGCAAGCATCCGCTAAAAATCGGCAGCGGCGGTCATGCGTGCTCAGTGAAACCGGTTTTTTTTCGCTTAAACACCAACATCCCCTCCAAGTTTCTCGGCGTATTTTGCCGTTACCCTTCCTTCCACCAACATGGAACCCACCAGAACATGGCAAACCCTTGTTTGTTGGCATTTACGGGAATCCTTTTTCCAGGGTTTCCCAGGTGGTGCACAACTTCATCCACCCACAGTAGGATGATGGTTTTCCAGCAGCCCTCAGTCAGGTTCCATGGCGCAGGAGGCCACCCCCCCCCGGCCGCTGCCAGGCCAACGGCTTCCCCGAGTGGGGCATCGACTTCGAAGGCTGTGGACGGAGGGGAAATGCATGACGGCATGGGTGCGTGCATGTAGGTGTAGGTGTATACATACATAGATATAGATACATACTTAGATACATCGATATATAGATACATAGATAGATAGATAGATAGATTGATAGATAGATACATAGATACATAGATACATAGATACATAGATAGATAGATAGATAGATATATAGATAGATAGATAGATAGATAGATAGATAGATAGGTAGATAGATAGATAGATAGATAGATAGATAGATAGATAGATAAGTAGATAGATAGATACATAGATACATAGATACATAGATACATAGATACATAGATACATAGATACATAGATAGATAGATAGATAGATAGATAGATAGATACATAGATACATAGATACATAGATACATAGATACATAGATACATAGATACATAGATAGACAGATAGATAGATAGATAGATAGATACATACATATATACATCGATATATAGATACATGGATAGATAGATAGATAGATAGACACATAGATACACAGATACATAGATACATACATAGATAGATAGATAGATAGATAGATAGATAGATAGATAGATAGATAGATATATAGATACATAGATACATAGATACGTACATACATAGATACATAGATAGATCGATCGATAGATCGATAGATAGATAGATACATACATATATACATCGATATATAGATACATAGATAGATAGATAGATAGATAGATAGATAGATAGATAGATAGATAGATAGATAGATAGATAGATATATAGAAACATAGATACATAGATACATAGATACTTTCATTGATACATAGATACATAGATACATACATACATACATAGATACATACATAGATACATCGATACATAGATACATAGATACATAGACACATAGACACATAGATGCATAGATACATACATAGATACACAGATATATAGATACATACATAGATACATAGATAGATAGATACATAGATAGATAGATAGATATATAGATACATAGATACATAGATACATACATACATAGATAGATAGATAGCTAGATAGATACATAGATACAGAGATACAGAGATACATACGTAGATACCTAGATACATACATAGATACATAGATACATAGATACATAGATACATAGATACATGGATGCATAGATACATAGATACATAGATATATATATATAGAGACGTAGATACATAGATACATAGATACACACATAGATACATGGATACATAGATACATAGATACATACATAGATACATAGATACATCGATACATAGATACATAGATACACAGATACATAGATACACAGATACATAGATAGATACATATATATATATAGATAGATAGATAGATATATAGATACATAGATACATAGATACATAGATACATAGATACGCATAGATAGATAGATGGATAGATAGATGCATAGATAGATAGATAGATAGATAGATAGATAGATAGATAGATAGATAGATAGATAGATATGTAGATACATAGATACATCGATACGTACATACATAGATAGATAGATGGATAGATAGATACATAGATACATACATGGATACATATATGCATAGACACATAGATGCATAGATACATAGATACATAGATACATAGGTACATAGATGCATAGATACATACATAGATACATAGATACATACATAGATAGATAGATGGATAGATAGATACATAGATACATGGATACATGGATACATGGATACATAGATACATAGATACATAGATACACACACAGATACATAGATACATAGATACATAGATACATAGATACACACATAGATACATAGATACATACATAGATAGATAGATAGATAGATAGATAGATAGATAAATAGATAGATAGATAGATAGATACAGGTAGATAGATAGATAGATAGATAGATAGATAGATACATAGATACATAGATGCATAGATGCATAGATGCAGCGAGGCTCCGCGTACGGGCGGCTGCGGGACCTCGTGCCCGCGCTGCGCGGGGACTTCCGGCGCTTCGGGCGTACCAAGGCCCGGCGTGGGATTGGCAAACATTGGCCGGACTTCGCGGAAGTCTTCGTTGCTGCCCTCCTTTGTTTTGGGGGGACAAAAAAAAGGTGAGCCCATGAGGAAGTCGGTGGAAACAAGGACTAAAACCCTGGTTTTGCTGGTGGTTTGATGCTGCCCCACATGGAACTCTGTGGAAACAAGCGCTAGTTTGATTTTGACCCTTAGCGATATGTGTTTTTCACCCAGAAGGGGGTCCCTCAAAAGGGGATTCCTCTAAAAACCACGGATGTTTGGGTTCATGTTAATCTGCAAGTTCTCGTTTCAAAGTAGCCCTGCACATGAACTAACAACTCATCCGCAAAAACACGAGGGGTTGCAACTGGTTTGCAGTGAAAGGAAGGGAGCTGGCTCGATCGCAGGTGAGGAACTGGCGCGAGGTGCTGGGGGATGACTTGGGCCAGGCCAAGGCGCGCGAGTTGAAAAGTTTCGCCCAGGGGTGGGGGGGTGGGTGGGTGGGTGCGGTTTGATGTGGCTGTGGTGTGGGTGTGGGTTGCGGGTCCTCAAGGCCAAGCGGGCCATCCCTGGGGGAAAAGGGGAAAAGGGCCCTGCGAAACAAGAGCCGGCGCCAGAAAACCCAAGGCTCGACGTTTGACCGCTGCTCCGGCGACCTTTTCTAGGTCCCCCAGGATCGTGCCCTTTTGCCGTGTTTTTTTTTTGGGGGGGAGGGTTCCCCTACTAAAATAGACGAAACAGAAAAAAACAAGCATCGGCTACCTTTACTCTAACCTCGCAAAGCTGGAGGGCCTAGGGTCTTGTTCCCCGTTCGAGGCGGTCTTCATCGGGGACAACGGCCAAGGGGACGTCCAGGCGGCGCTGCAGATGGCGCGCTTCGGGCCGCCCTTTGCAGCGGCCTTTATTCACCGAGTGCTGGAGGTGCGGCTGGGGGGGGGAGGAGGGGAGGACGGGGGAGGACGGGGGAGGACGGGGGAGGAGGGGGGAGGAGGGTTGGGGGGAGGGAGGGGGGGGAGGAGAGGGGAGGAGGGGGGAGGAGGGGGGAGGAGGGGGGAGGCTTGAATAAGGATGCCTCAACGGCTCAAATAAGCAGGTTGCCTTGAATTTTCAGCACCGGCATCTTCCAAGGTGTGGTGGGTAAGTATGCCCTCAAGAAAGTGGGACACCTCTTGTTGATGTTCATCCAGAAGGGCGCCGTTTGCTGAGCCTTATGCCTGGGGCTGCCGGCGGTTTTCCCAGAGACCTTTGCGTGGCTTTTGACCTTCTGATACGCAGGCTTCACCGCGGAGGGCGCTTGGGCCAAGCATGTTGGCACTATGCCTTGGCGATTCTCCAAGTCAATCCGAGGAAGCTTAGATCTCCCCACTTTCTCCTCCCATGTTCTTGAGAAGGACAGAGGCTGCGGCTTCACAATCATTACTAGGGTTTCCCTTGGCTGCTGCAATGTTAACCCCTTCAAATGCAACGAGGAAATGCTCACGACGGCCAGGGGAGACACTCCAAGCAACCTTCGGTGATGTCGGTTCTTGTTTGTTTGGTGTTTGTAAGTTGTTTTGTTGGGTTACCCCTTGCAAATTAACATGGAACCCAAAAAGGCTTCCTGTACAGATCGTGAGGTTTTCATTTTTTAGTTTCCAGGCGAGTAAGTCATTTTCCAGCAGGTGCACGGCTAACTTTGCTTTTCGCCTGGCGGACCCCCCCCAGGCAACCCTCATTATATGAGGTTAGCTGGGATGTCCCAATTCCCTTGAGGAGTGTGGCTTGGGAGGGGTGCATGAGTTTGTGAGGCTCTTTGCTCAAGTCCAGTGTTCAATGGCGAAGCCACCAGAATGGCCGGCTGTCCCAGGATCACATGTATGAGAGTTTCTTCAAGCGGTCTAAAGGTAAAACAATTTGGGAGAATCCCCTTGCCACATTTCCATGCGGACGCTTCCTGGTATTGAGCCAAGAAGGGTATCCCAATATCCAGTGTCATCTTTGGGCAACCACCAGACAAGTAAGACGGTGTTCCTGCGCTGCTTCATCCAAAATCCCATCCCAGTCAGACATTTTTGGGGAGGAGTGGTGAATCCCAGAATCCGGCTCCATTTTCCCTGCCCAAAGGAAAGAGAATGGAATTGGGGACTTGAGCCCCCCGACCACACACCCAAAAGCCTTGAATCCCAAGCAACAGCTCTGAGACGGGGCTCGCTGTCTCCCTTTTCTTTGTTGGTCGCGGGTCCGGGGGCGGTTTAAGAACCCGCCTTTTAGGTGCCAACATGGCTTGCCGCAAGGTTTGTCATTGTTGGATTGGTGGGCCATCTGGAAGGGCATGGTTTCATGCCCCTCAGCATAAACTAGATGGATGTATGCATTGCGTTGCGTTTGGTTGCGGTACATTGGCACAGTCGTACCAGCAAGCTCGGCTCCCGGATTGGTTGCGTCCAGGTTCCGTTCTGAGAGCCATGCTGCAAAGGGGCTATGAACTTGGATGTCAAACCTACTTAGTAACTAAGCTGTAACCATGGTTATGTGTCAACAAGCCCTTATTAATAAGGGGGGTGTTCTCCTCCCAAAGTGGTCTGATTCCCGACTAAACCCAGTAACAAGCTGGGGTTGATCAATATGGGGTCAACATTATACCCCTGGCCAGAAGCTACTTAGTAGGTTGAACACCCAAGGGGTTGTACATGTCAAGGTTTTAGTAATTATTTTAACACTGATACTGGTAGGTTTGGCAAAGTATGACAGCTTTGCAAAAGGTTGGTGGCACGAAAATAGATGTAAAAGGACATTTGGTTGGACCCGCCAGGAGCCGGAAGCGCCAAAGCCGGCCGCGCCGAGCCACCGAAGGGTCTTCTACTTCAGCACCTACCCGGGAGCGGCGCAGGCAGCGAGTGGCGAGTCGAAGTCGCCAGCGTGGCGACCTCCCCGGCAGAATGCACTTGGGAAAAATCTTTGGAACTAGAGAAAGGGTGTTTTACAGGGACTCTTGGCGTTTCTGAGTTTTGCACATCGACATCGCCCCTGAACAATTCACTTGGAACATCTTTGGAACCACAGAAGGAAGCTGACGCGTGTGCCAGGCTTTGACTAGATTTCCCGGACATCACATTGCAATACCGATTCTTGTGGAGCCCAGAAGAAAGGGTCTTTTACGGGGAGACTCTTGGCGCGTCTGAGTGTTTTGCCCATTGGGAGGCTTCAAGCAGCGCCGCTTCAAGGGCAACTTTTTTGCACGGACATTTCCAGGTATGCCAAGATGGCCCCTCAAGATTCATGTGTAGCCACGGGGCACGCGAATTAGAGAGCGTGCAGCTTGCCCCAGAATCGCACATGGCGCCAGACCCAAGACCCAGAACCCCCAAACCGTCTGCATGGCCCGCGTCTGAGTTCGCGCCTTCCACCGACCAGTTGCAACCGTTTACGCGTGCACAGGCCCAGGAAACAAAGCAGTGAGATCACGTGGCATGGAAGGCTCCCTTGCGGTTTGTTGCCTTTCAGACTGGACACTCCATGGCTTGTTTTTAACCTGGGCTCTTCCTCAACCGTTCTCCTGAAACAACTCCTTTAATGAGCTTCCTGTGTGATTCTCATCATCTTCCGCAGGCCAAGTCATGATTCCAAGGGAATCCCACTCGAATGAAGGGAAGAGCAATGGACAAGTCAGTGGACCTTCAGGCTAAAATAGGAGAAGCATCGGAGAAGCGCATTGGAACTGCTCGAAAGAACCAACTCTGGTTTGGGGGTGTACCTTCTTCGGCCTTGGTCAAGAAAACAACACCCCCCTTTTGCCTTTCGATCTTTGTTCCCCTGCTGGAAACCCAGCAGCAACCAGAAATCACCTAGCTCGGTGAGTCAGATTGTCCCAAGGCATCCGGAACAGCTGCGGCCAGAACTCAACACTCACTTCCTGAGTTCATGAACTTTAAGCTTTTTGGGAAGACCATTTTCGTGGTAAATCTAGAGTTTGGATACTTTTTCTGGCCATCCACTCAGCCAGAAATCATTCATTTTTTGTTTCCCCCGACGGAGGCGGCGCTGGGCCGAAACCTGATCTCCGAAGAGGGGCTGCGGCGAGTCCACGGCGCCGTGCTGGGCTCGAGCCTCGCGCAGCTCTGCGCCTTGCACGCGCAGGACGGAGCTTCTGGTGGCCAAAGTGGCCGGGAAACCCGTCTTTGGAAAACAAGCAGCCACAAAAGGGCACTTGTATTTTTATTTATTCATTTTGGTTTTATTTTTGGTGGTTGTTTTCTGGGTTCTTGTTATTCATTATTATTTTTTTGTCGGGGGGGGGGGTTTGACAAAAGTAAAAGACATCCAGCAACCAAAGAAAGGACCCTTTGTTTCCCGTTTCCACAGCCTTTCCCCTGAAAGGAGGTTCCAATGGCAGAGGGACTTGCTGAGGGGTGGGTCCCGTAACCCCAGTTGCGCAGTGGCACCCTCCAAGTCTCTTTGTGTTTGGCGGTCTTCCACCACCACCAATTTGGATTTGACCCCCAAAGGCCCATGCCTAATATTGACCCAGGATAAATCAACCCGTCCCACTAGGGGGTTCCCTCCAAAAGTGGTCTGAATCCAACCACTAAAAGGAATTGGACACCCCCCAATCAAAACGGACTCTTCGTGACCAGGACCCCGGCCGCTTCCAGCGCTACCCCTGCCGCCGTGAGGGCGACCTCTTCTGGGCAGACGGGTCCCCTGTGGTGGAGGCAAAGCAAGCCGAAGCCTTTGTCGCAAACCTGTGTGTTGTGAGGGCAGTCGCGGCGTAAGAGGAAAGAAGAAGAAGAAGAAGGGGAACAAAAGAAGACAGAAGATGATGATGATGATGAGGAGGAGGATGAGGAGGATGAGGATCAGGATCAGGATCAGGATCAATATCAGGATCAGGATGATGATGATGATGAAGAAGATGATGATGATGATGATGATGATGATGATGATGATGATGATGATGATGATGATGATGATGATGATGATGATGATGATGATGATGTGCAGCGCGTCCTCGCCAGTTCTTGCTTACTTTGATCCGAAGCATCCGTCAATTTTGTGCAGCGCTCCAGTCCTTGCGTTTGGACACAGGCCCACATGGATTGGACAGACCATGTTGTTGATGGCAGAACAAAGGTCGCCAATACGATCAGCTTACGGCGGAAAAGGAATCCACTTGTTTGACCTTGAACAATCACCTCACTTGCCCAAGACTTGGTTGTCTCCGTTGCTGTGCTTGTAAGGGACCCAAGGGTAAACTGGTAAACCCTCGATTCACGAAAGGTAGCCTCAAGGAGGCTAGCTTGAGTCCCCCCCTTCCCCCCTTCGACTCCCCCCGGTCCACCCTCTCCCCCCTGTCTGATTGGCAGCTTCGCTCCTTTTTCCAGTCTTCTCGCCGCTCTCTTCGCTCGCTTCGCTTCACACTTCGGTCCGCTTTTCGCACCGATTTGCTCTTGTGTTCCAAGGCCGGTCCTCCCAGTCAAATCGTAGTGCATTCCGAAGTTGATACGGGACACTGAGTGCACGTCTGCTTCATAGTTGGCTATGCGCAATTATACGGTGCTGGGGGTACCTCAGCTTTGGCACCAACACCTCCAGACTTTGTCTCGGGGACGTTTCATCGTTTAGGGGAATCACTGCACGGTAGGTATCCTACCTTTCGTGTCTCCCCTTCTCAAGTTCTGTGGTCTGTTTCCCTTTGTTCCTCATCAAGTCCGGACCCTCTATCAAAGCAATTTGCCTGTCCTTCACCTCTATGGTAGCGATGCCTGGTTCCCTGATTTGCTATCACTGGCTCAAGCTAGCTTTCTCGGTTGCTTCTTGGCCCGGCCTTCAACCTTTTAAACTTGGGAAACGATGCAACAACCCCACGTACCAAACAGTTTTATGTTAGGGGGGTCAACGGCCAATCGAGCTTTGGCTCCCCTAAAGTTAGCATGCTTCAACACGGGCGTCTGCACGATTGCCGGCTCAAGATGAAGCGTTATTGTTGGAGGGAGGGCATGTTTTTTCTCCTTCTTTTTTTTTTTTTTTTTGGGGGGGGGGGGTAATGTTGAGGAGGGTGTAAGGATATGTTTTATGTTTTTTTGTTTAATATCTAGGTCCCCCCTCTTTTTTGGTTGGGAGGGTTCCCCTACTAAAATTGACAAGAAAGACAAAAGGTTGGTACCCTTATTCCAAGCTTGCAAAATTGGAGGGCCTAGATATGATTGTTGGGGTGTTTAACCTGGAGGACCTAGATATGACTATATGATTGTTGGGGTGTTGGGGCGGGTCCAAGTTTTGGATTTTGCCCAGGTGGCGCTGGACCCCGAGGACCCCACGGTGCGGCTGCGGCGCTGCAAGCTTCCCCTGGCGCACCCGGAGATCGACCGAGGCATGGAACGCGCGCGCGCGCGGAACGCGGGGCACGCGCGGAGGTCGCCGGCGGTTTCTGGGCTCCGAAAGGCGCCGTTTTTGGTGGGCACTGGCAGGTTCCGAAGCCACAGAAACCAAACATGTCAACTGCCAAAAACTGGGTGAACCCCCAAAAATGCGTGAAGTCCTCCCCCAAAACTACGAAAAAAGGGGGTTGTTCCCCTTCTTTCGGGCAACGATCGGTCTCGACTCCCCCAAAACAGTGCCCACTTTTGTGCCTTTCGAGTCGCTGGACAGGTGGGGAGATCCACCGTTAATCCTGAAGTCGGGGAAGATGTGCGAGTTGCTCCTTTGCGAGAGTCGCACGGAAGCCGGACAGCCATCTGTTTTTGAGTGGTCTCCTTTTGGGGGACCATGTTAATTTGCAGTGGGGCCTTGGAGCGTCCAAGGAACACTCTTTCGGGGTGACTTAAATGAGCAAAGCAAATTTCAATGAGATTTACAAAGCTCGGTTCGCTGCCCGTTTTCCAGACCCCACTTGGGGGAATGCCAAAACTCAGGGTCTGAATTTGTGGTTTGGGTTGGGGGCTCGTGGATTTGAACGGGTCTGTGGGAAAGCGCCGGGAAATTGCATAAGCCCTTGCCCTGATGGGTGGTTTGGACTGGTGCGGATTTGGACTTGAACCGGTTCTTGTGGAAAGTAATGTTGACCCCATATTAATCAACCCCTGTTTGTTAAGCTGGGGTGCTGCCACCCAAGTGGCACAGACCAATCCAAGTGAAACCACTGCATTGGCCTTGCTCTCCAATATGACCTTCATCGAAAGTCTCAGCCAAGTTGCAAAAACAGCAAATTAGTGTGTGGGTCGAAGCCATCAATATTGGGTAATAGTCAACTGGGGTTGATTACTATGGGCTCAACATGGTCGTTGTTGGGACACATTTTGCATGTTTGTTCATTGTGGTCGAGTGGTTGAAATCCAACCACTTAACTGCTAAAGATATATTTATTTTTGCGGCCCTTCCAACGTCAACCAAGTCAACATGGCTATGGGTCAAAAATGCGTACCCAGAATGGAACCATGGTAAATGGATCCAAAGACTAAGGTCCCCTGGTGGTTTCATTTTGACTCAGACCTACATTAACTTGGCAAACCTTCTCACTCTGCTGTCCGAGGGCAGTGCCCGCTAGCTGCGTGAAACAGGAACAATTATTTTGGAGAAACAGGACAACATCTCATGCGTGAGAAACATACTCCAACTTGGCAAGCCTAACCTCCAAACCACCCAGGCGAGTTCCGAACATCATTCGGCCGCCGGCAGCAGGCGGGCGCTGCGCGCCGCTGCTGGCGGAGCTGAAGGAGGCGGAGGTTGTGCTGGCGGCGAAAGCCGCCGAAAGGCGGTCGGGCCTGCGCTCGAAGCTTGGGCGATGTTGGGATCTTTGAGGCGTAAGAAGCCAAAAAAAAATCCCCTCAGCAGTATAACCCTTTTGGAACCATGCCATACTTTGCTGCATTTTGTCAAGGGATGCTAGGACTATATATAACTTGTTGCCTTCTAAATGGGTTTTCCGAATTAAACCACTAAAAGTTGGAGCAGAAAACAGCCGAGATTTGGTTGGGATCTTTGAGGCAGCTTTTGGGGAAGTGAAGAAACATGATATGGGATTGGGTGAAAAAGAGGTACCCACTTGTATTTTTTCAACATGAACCCTGGTAAATGGGAACCTGGACTAACACCTGCGGTCCCTTGGGGTAATTTTGACCCATACACCATATTCGGATCTTTAGTTCTCTCGGAAGTTATGTGCTATTCTCCTGGTTAGTCAAACGGATCGACTTGGTTCATCCGGGGGATGCAGCCATCCAGGAAAGTGGCCGCCTGGTTCGCGCAGCGCCGTAAGATTGTCACGAGCCAAGCTCCGCGAAGAGAAAAAAACCCGCGCCGAAGACGTGCGAGGCTTCCGCAGGGCACCTCACAGTTCTGATGGAACAAGCCCCTGGATCCGGGAAGTCTCGGTGTTTCCCATTGAACCGGTTGAACTAAGTCTTGCTCCAGACATTTCAAGTGGTGTTTCAAACTTGTATGCCTTCATGACTTGACAGTCAATCCAATTTTGCAGTTTCCCAACCGCCAGAGATGTCACTCAAATTTGCAGGCTGCTCTGTAGAGGATGTCTCCGGAGACTTCAGCCCAGTGGTTCCGGTTTCCCTGTGGGGTGCCGAAAACCCAAGTTGTCCCCAAGAAGGCTTCGGCCAACTTGTCGGCCCAATCCAAGAGACCCTTCCCACGCGTAATTTGGCGAAGGTTTGGGCGCCTGTCTGCTTGGAAGGACCCACATTCAGAAGCAATGCAGGTGCAGGAGAAGATCGATGTGATGATCAAGGCCCTCAAGACGGAGCAGGCCGATGAAGTCAAGAAGAAGGACTACTGCATCGAAGAGCTCAGCAAGAATAAGCCGCTTCGATTGGCGCCGATTTTGCGCATGGGTTTCTTTTGTCTTTCTCTCTGCGTGTTTGTTTTGACGGGCCTTGGCATTTTGTGTCTCCCGAGTTTTTTCCCCTCCCAGGACTCATGTAAAGTCTCTTTTGACAGCCCTAATGGGAGATGCAATTGTCAATGCCAATGTGGAGCATCATTCTGTTTCATGATTATCCATGATGCATGTTCTTTTGGGCAATATGTTCATGGTGCACCAATGTGCCGAACGCCTTCCCAACGTGTCAAGGGCGGTCAGCTTCACATGTTTCACATTCGTCAGTCAGGCGTTTCCTACGTGGTTTGACCACCGGGCTCCAGAGGCTGTTCCAGCCAAGCCGGCAAGCAGGCCACTTTCTGTTTGGAATGTGTTTCCTGTAGGAGTTCAGTGATGCTTTTGAATCGGACATAGTTGGACCCTGCGCACAAAATCACAATCACACCCTCGACCGTGCGGTTTCATGCGCACTTCGTTGGTCGAGTTAAATCGGCGGTGGCTCCCTAGGATTCAACCCCATCAACAGAATTCGGATGCCAATCCTTAGGTCAATGGTTAGGCCCCCATGGCTTTGACGGTGGCCTGTCTGAACCTGAGGCCCGGGGCCCGGGGCCCAAAACCCACCCACCTCGATCGACCTTTCGCGCGCCTCGAGCTGCGAGGCTGGCAGCGGAGGACAAGCAGCGCCAGGGGGAGTCCCTGGATGCCTCGGTGCAGGAGACTCGCCGGTGACGAGCGTGTCCTGTGGCTTGGGGGGGCTCCAGGCGGGTATTTGTTTTCGTCTTCTTCTTTTTTCCCCCCTTTTTCCCCACTTTTTTCCCCCGTTTTTTGTGTGCCATTCTGTTTGCTTTGTTTTTTTTGGGGGAGGTTGTTTCCCGCCAAAAGCGGTCTGATCCCCAACTAAGCCCTGTGACAGTTCAGGTTTTGGAGGTGTACAACTTGCAGATCGCAGGGGGGCGTCCCCCCCCCCTCCCCCCCGGATTTCCGTAGGTGGATTCCTAGGATGTGGCTCCTGCAAGAACGATGTCCCTGACTTCCTAAGTCATGGTTGTTGTTGGGAAACATGTTGCATTTTTGCTGATTGTGGTTTAGTGGTAAATCCCCACTTACCTGCTAATTTCAATTGGTTGCTCCCCTTCCAACGTCAACCAAGAAGTGAGTCCTTGGCTTCCTGGCAGGACCTGAAGCAAAAGCTGCAAGCGCTGGTGGCGGAGTCGGAGGACCGGGTCTGAGGTTTCGTAGAAGCAACGACGACCAACGAGTGACTCAAACAGGTGAATCACATCGGTTTTACAACCGGCTGCTACCATAGGTGTCCTTTTTGGTTGATTTGGCTTCAAAATGGAGGGCCCTGGTTTACCCTGGTGGTTCAATCAATTACCCATCTATTTTCCAAAAAAGGACACCCGCGGCTACTGCAACAATGGGAAGGCAGGTTACACACACAAAGGCTCTCCCCTTTTGGAGTTAGATAGTCATAGATGGGAATCAACCGAATACCAACGTCATCCAATGTCCAACAACCAGGGAAGCGGACAGCAAACCTCCCCCCTCTTCTAGGATTGTGTGAAAGGCAAGGAAGCGTTCGTACGTTGCTTCGTGACACGGCTTTCCTGTGCAGAACTTAGGTTTATGTTGTTGACTCGGGCGGGGCGGGGGGGAGATCGGCGGGCCCGTTTGCAATTCTTTATTTATGTTTTGCCGACGGCGCGGAACCCAGTCCGCAATGGGACTCCATGATTGATAAAACATGGTTGGTTTATTGGGACACCTTCTACATGTTTCAGTTTTGGAGGGGCGACACACCCTGCATAGAGCCCTTCCCCATAAGTTTCCGCTTTGCGGGAAAGCGGTGAATGTATGGAATGTTTTTCGCATGGGATCCTGAACCCAGTTTACAATCCAATCCAGCCCCAGCTTTCGCTCAGTGGCATCCTTTTTCACCTGGGTGGCTCGTTGTTTTTTGGTGGTGCCCCTTTTTGGGGTGGTCCTAAAGGGAAGCCACACAAAGCCACCAGTTCGGGGGGTAAAACAAGTCGCACCCACTTCTTTTTTTGGAGGGAACACTTGATGAAATAAAGGCCGCCCGCTTCCTCCATAGGAACCCCCCAGAAGGAAACCACTGGGAGACCCTGCCCAGCCTGTGGCTGGCTCGGTCAGGAGCTGAGTGCAGAAGTGGCGGAGTTGCAGAAGCAGCAGACGCTTGGAGGCATCCCAATTTTGACTATCATGAATAAAGGGGTGTCCTTTAGGTCAGTTTGCATACTACCTGATGAATTCTACTGGCTTCAGTCTTTTCAACTGGAATAGTATGGGGTGCTTTGTATGAGAACATCTGCACCATAGCGAGGTTGCATGGGAGTAAAATGAGCTCACCCATGATGCAGATAGATCCCTTACTCAGAAATTCCCCAATTCAGGGTGGTGTATGTTGTGATTTGCGCTCTGTTGGACAGTCAGCAAGCGTTTCTCCAACAATCATGGAAGTGCACATGTTGTGACCAACAGACATGGAGGATGCATGGAGAGGCATCAGTTTAACGCATGTTAACATGAAAGCTGGTAAACTGCTCAACGTTCATGATAGCCAACCCCAACATCCAGATTTTCCCACCGTTTTCATCTTACCTCCACCCAGCTGCTCCGCGCAGAAAACGACTCCCTCGCCCCACCGGGCCACATGAGGCAGCTCTCGGCCCAAAACCGGGAGAAGGAGAACGCGGAGTTCCAGAAGGTGGTGCAGGACCAGAGGGAGACCCAGGCGGGGGCTCAGTCGACGGGTGAGGGTGCCTGGAAGATTGATGTCAGGTGCCAGTGGCTGCCCGAATCTTGCCTCGAAAATGCCCAGAAAGGTCGCCCCGTGGGGTTGGGGCGGGAAAGACGCGATCCTCCACTTAGGGTGGAACATCGAAGCCAGCTGAACGGTGGAAAAAACCCGGAGAAGCTTCGTACCCAGTTGTTCCCTTTTTCCGGCTGAAACCCTCGCCAACCGAAACCCTCACCAGCGCCAAAAGTCCTGAGCTCGATGAGTGACGTGAGGTTTGCGCGAGCGCTCGATCGCCGGGCTGAGGTGCTTCTGAAGAAGGCCATGGTCGTGCTGCAGGGCTTCTACAACAAAGAGTCGCTGCTGCAGGCAAGTGGGGGTGGGAGGATGGTGGAAGTGTGGGGGGCAGAAGCGGGTGCATGGGAACGGGGCAAACGGGCGAGCGGGGGGTGGGGAAGTGGTGCGGTGGGGGAGTGGTGGGGGCTTATTTTCAGTTGGGCCAAGAAGGAAATCATCAAAGCTTGGAATTCGGGGGGAGAAAAAACAAAAAACGAAACAAACACCTCAAGAATCTCTGCATCCAACGTCCCACCGGCCACCCTCGCCAGGCGGTTCCGCCAGTGGAGCCAGAGACTTTCGGAAGCTACAAGAAGAAGTCGGGGGGCAATGGCGCCGCTCGCCCGGCGACCTCCGGGTTTTAAGGGAGCCATGGGCAAGCGCAAGTTGATGCCAACGCTTCGATGCTCATGGCATTTGGCTGTGGGTCAAAAATAGGGTAACCCCAAAACGGAACCCTGGTTCATGGAACCAAGGACTAAAACCTGCGGTCCTTTGGTGGTATAATTTTGATCCATACCCAGTTCAGTTCTCTGGCTTTGTGACCACGGAAGCAGACAGGGCTTTTGGCCGACTTGTTGGGAAGAAAGGTGCTGATGCTGAGATATGCTGAGGGGTTTAGCGATATAGCGGCGTTTTGCTTCTGGACACGGACTCCTTTAATTGCAGTTTTTGATTACTGCCCGTTTCCTTTGGCTTCCTCGTTTTTTTTTTAAAGCAACTTTCTGACGAGGAGGATTTTGGGAAAGAATGGGGGGCCAGTACAGCTAGAATGACTCGGATGCGTGTTGGCCAACTTGGAGATCACATTTGCCAGCTGGCTTGAAGCTTTTCCCCGTTGAGCCAGACTGTTGATTTAGGTGCAACCTCAGACTCGTCCACAACCATGTGGAAGAACTTTATGCCCCGGATTGTTTTTTTTTGGCAGAAAAGATAGAGGTGGTGATCATGGTGGTCAAAGTACTTTGCTCGGATGGTCTTTCAAAGGTAAACTCAAAAAAAGCCTCGTGAAAGCTCAAAAAGGAGGCCTCACCAGCCTCAGTTCCACATTGGCCTGTTTCCCTTGAACCAGCCAGAAGGCTCCCAACAACTGACATACCCGTCCAAGGGTTCTCAGTGCGGAATCCTCGGTTTTGGGACCGTACCGGGGATCCACTATGGTTCAGTCTCCAAAAACTCCGCGCCGCGAGGTGGTGATGATGCTGCAGCAGCTGGTGGCTGACGCCCAGGAAATGGAGACGGAGGCCTCTGCCGCGGAGCGCAGCTCCCAGCTGGACTACGAGGCCTTCGGCCAGGAGACGAGAGCCGGCGGTAAGAACTGGGCGGCTGAACATCAGAGGCGTTTCAGGGTTTTTCGTGGTTGGTTCTTGGGCGGTTTTCAACTTCTTCTTTTTTCAAAAAATAAATAAATAAAAAAATACATAAAACATAATAATAATAATAATAAAAAAACAAACATTGCACTTTGGGTTTCCAGTTTCAGGAAACCAGGAGAACTTGGGTTTCAGTCTTCTTCTTTTTGTTTGCGCCTGGTGGTGTTCAAGGGGATCTATCACCGGACATATGTCTTCGCATTTCGGAGACAGGGTCAGGTTTTTGTTTTTCCTGATCGGTTCCAAGGGGCGCAAGAGCCCAAAAGGAGTTTCCTTGGATGTGTCTTGGTTCCATGTTCTGTCGGGTTTCAGGTTGAGACATGGAACCAGAAAGCGAGATCTTGGTTCTCAGGGTTGGAGCCAAAGTTTTTTTTTTCCTTGGCTTTTTGGGTCCCATACCCTTCCCTTCCTTCACTTAGCCTTCTGGCGGGATGGCACCTCGAAGATCAACGTCTTGGGGCCCTTGTTGAAGGGGGCTATGGGAGGGTAAAGGGTCACCCTCACAAACATGGAAGTGCAAGTGCGCGGACGCAGACCTTTTCAGAAGGAAGGTGGTCTCTCAAAGGAGCCCGTGCACTTCCATGCTTGCTGCTCGGGTAATTATCTAGGGTCCTTTCCAGGGATTTGGAAAGGAGTTTGGCAGGAGACCACTGCATCGCTCGCCGCCAAGAACAAGGCGCTGGAGGACAAGGCCGGGTCCCTGAAAATCTCCAGGTGGCGAGCGGCTGATGCGCATTCCCCAGGCTCTTTGCGTCATCCGCAAGGATCAACAAACCTGGCGGATCGCTTGGGGGGGTTTTAATGTCCCCCCAAGAGGCAAGGAACGCACTCGTTTGACATGACAGCTGGGATATTCATCAACCCGCCCTTTTTGACCCATCATGCGGGTGTTCCGCCCGTCGCTTGTTGACCAGTGGAGGTTCCCCTAAAAGAGAAGGCTGCCAAGGGGACCGAGGCCCACTGCAAAGCAACCAGGGCGCCGATCCATTTTTACGAGTCTCGGGGCTGGAACAACTAGTTCTGCCTTGTTTTGACACAGGAGCAGCGTACAGGGCGACAGCCGACTGGAGGACCCCGGGCGCCAAGCCGCAAATGTTCAGGCGGCCAAGTCAGATGTTCCACACCGACCTTTCCACCTTGGGGCGTTTTTCTGTTTGGCCCGGAGGTGCCAAAAGGTGATAACCCCCCTGCTTGGGCTTTAGGCGCGTCTCCGCGTCCGCTTCAGGCGGGGGAGAAGGCGAAGCTGGAGGAAAAGGCCGTCATGGCCCGGCAGTCCAAGAAAGGCGTGCTGGCAGAGGCAGGGCGGGCCTGCGGCCTGGAGCAGCGGGTTTGATGGGAACGTGGCGGTGAGTGACAGGTTTTTGGGAGCTGGAGCCCTAGCAGATGGTAGGTGGATATAAAATATTTCTGGTGAATGATGTCTACCGAAGAATGTTCAACTAGAATTCAGCACCCAGAGAGTGAGCTGGACTTGCATGGCCGGTTTGGGGCTCGTGGGGAAGTCGCTGACTGTAAAGGAGGCTTGGGGTGCTGAGTTGGGTTGCAACTTGGCGTGGGAGGAGCAAATGAGCGGGAAATGGATGGCAATGCCCCGAAACGATCGGTCAAGTGTTTGCTCCCTCCCGGGGGCGGTGGCACCCATTTGGTGGGTGCTTGGTTGGTCAGGCTTCGAAGCCCGAACGCCGAATCAATCCGAACTTCCGCGCTCGCTCGCGGTGCTTTTTTCTGGGGGGGTTGTCTTGTCTCAAGTTGGGGCACCCGGGCGACTCCTTTGACCAGAAGGACACCCCCGCTTGAATCCCTTGAGGTGGAGGGCTTGGCGAACACCGAGTTCCAGCTGCACGAGGCATCCGGCACTGAATGCTCGGTCATTTTCTGCTTCAGAAAAAAAAAGCCACCCTAAGACAGTCAGGAAAGGGTCAGGTTCCCCCCCGAGTTGGTTGCTTGGCTCGGTGGTTTGAAGATTTGAGCCGGTCCGTTGTCCCTAACCTCCAGACCCTCCAAGCCACCAGGAGGGAAGCTGAAGGCCCTGGAACCGGGGTCGTTGGGTTATCAAAGTCGGCAACTGGGGGTGTTTCCATCTACTGGAACCTGTTGGCAGGTGACTTTGACAGTGGTCAAAGCATGGGGCCTGTGGAAGGGAGCATGTTGCATTTGCGCTTTCCAGCTTAAAGGGGCGAGAAGGCCACCTTCTCCCCGACGGGGTGCAAGGACGAGCTTCTTTTGATTGAAGCGGCAAAGATCACCTTTTGAAAAGGCCCATTGATTTGTCGAGTTGTTGTTCGTTCAAGGGTTGGTGTCTGTAGATTGGAATGCAGTTGGAGCCGTGTTTTGGAGGCGAGATCCCACATGGGCAGCTGTCATTGGTTTTCCTGTCTCAAGCGAATTTCCATGTCCAATTCACGGCTTCAAGGATTGGATGTATAATTCGCCTCGAAGGCTTAAATGTTTGGGCGCCCCTCTGATAGGTTTGTCTCATTGGGCCCGATCGGTGTCCTTTTGGTTTCTCGTTGAGAGGGTAGCGAGCCTCAAGGACACCCACGGGAAAGAAAGGAAAGAAATCCGGGCCAATGAATTTTACGGGGAAATCCGGCTCCTTCCCTGCCACTTGACTTGGGCATTTTGGTGGGCCAGTCCAACATGAAACCGCAGAAGGCCAAGATTCTCCCTTCACACATTGCCCCAAGAAAAACATGCCCCTCCCAAACCGTAAAAGCGGCAGCCGGGCCAAATTTACAGCCCAAAACGGGTCAAAAACTCGCGCTGAGACCTGCGACTTCACCTTGCAGAACTTCGATGCGCGCCAGAAGGCCAGGGGCGAAGAGGCGGGGCGCCAGCCTGGACGGGTGGGTCCGGTAGGTCTGGCACTAGTCCCTCCCAAAAAAAGCAGGACGCCTTGGACGCATTTGACCCATTTTATTCGGGATGTTACTGGGGATTGGGATGTTCACTTGGGGTAGAGATTTTGACGCCTTGGAAGTAGTCAACCTTAAAGGGATTCTTTGTTGGCACCGAACTGTAGCATTTTCTTGGCACCGGAGATGCCATGGCTTTTTTGGGGTATTCGGTCGCCTCTATTTAATTCAAAAATTATCTGGAAACTCCGAGCCAGTTTGTATTGAGGCAGGGATTTTCAGGGATTTTCGCCGCAAGAAGGACAAAACGACGGCCTCAGAGCCCGGCAAAGCATGTCAAAAAGCTTGAACCGGCCCTTGCTCTCGCGTGTGCGTTGCGAATATCACTAGCATGTGTTTCCTCCCTTGTATGGCTTTCTGCTGCTTTGAGCGCTGGATATCATGAGCATCGATGCACGGCAACAAATTCACCCATCTGGTAAAAAAAAGGCGCAGCCGGCAACGGGCAAGTTCCGCTGCAGTAAGACCAGCCTTGGCACTAAAGCGCCTTTGATTCCAGCAGTCAGGAATTCTGTAACTACTTCCAATGAGAGCCTTGAAATCGTGTTCTTCTGAAGCCAGCAACTCTTAAGGCAAAGAGCGCACTGGAATCGCCGCACGGGTCAACCCCGCAAAACTCATGCCCCCCCCCCTTCCTGGCACCATATCCAGATTCTAGTGTGGCTGCATTCGCGAGCAGATAGTGTGGTATTGCAGGTTGCCCCTGGCTGTGCCGCTTGTTGGGCAGGGTGGAACGAAACAAGGGACGGCTTGCGCGATAAGCGCTTGCTACAGCTCATTTTCGCACACAGGTCAGAAACGAGCAACGAACTTGTGGCAGCAACGCACTCAATAAGCAACGCCGTCGGAAGTGCACAAACGCCGCAGCTTGTCTCAGAAAATCCAAATTTTCTGCCGGAGGCCGCGACAAGGCGCCGTCCGCAGCTGAAATTTTGGCCGAACTGGGCGCCGCAAAGGCAACCGTCCGACCCAGCTCAGGTGGAGTCCCTGCACGAGGCCAAGGCCTTCCTCTCCGGCGCCAAGTGAGTCGTCGAAAAGTTGCGTGCGGCTGACTGCGGTGGGGACTGCGGGACTGGGGGACTGGACTGTGGGTGGACAAAATCCTGCACCACTTGGAAGCCATGGTTGAAACCATTGTTTGTTGGCATTTACAAGGGACTCATCATGCCAGGGACTTTTAGGTGCGAAATGGAAGACCGTTTGGTTGTCCCAGTCTTTGGCTGGCGGGTTTGAACATCGCTCTTGGTTGCCCAGCTTTGGGATGTAATGAGGCAGGGAGGATGAAGAAGAAAGGCACTCAGGGTTGTCGCCCCTCCCCCCCCCCGGCCAAGTTTGCCGCACGCATGTCGCTTTCTGGATCGACACTGGGAAAAATGAATGGGTCCATGTGTGCCATTTAAGCATTTTTCCCCAAAAGGAAAGCCAAAGATTGGTATTTGTTTGTCTCAAGCCCTTCAATGATTCAACGCCAAGGTTCAGAAAACCCGTTAACCAAACCCAGCCTGGAAAGCCGTCGGAGCGGATTTTTGTTGAGACGCAGCCCGTCGAGCCTGCTCCCGGGGGCGCCTCGAACTGCAGACTCCTCAAGTGGGCGCTGCCAAGATCTCGGTTCAGTTTTTTCGGCGTGGGCTGCGGCCGCTCGTTTTTTTTTTTTTTTTTTTTTTTTGCATTTTGCTGCCGCAGACCAACCGAAAAGAAAAAAACAAGAAGATGCCCTTTTTTCCCCATGGCCACTGGGCATCTGAGTTCCTTTGCGTGCTTGCTTGACCCTTGCTTCGCCTCAAAAGGCCGCGCAGCAGGCAGCAGGCGGCTGCGCCGCCGGATGGCATCTGTTTGAGCCAAGCAAAATTTCGATAGCCAGAGCCGTAACTCGAACTATCCCCCTACAGAGCTCAGCCTGGTTTCATCAGAGTCTTGGCCGGACTTTTCTTAGACAGAGGCCGGAGGGACTCGAGTTTGAATGGCCACCAGCCACTCCATGCTTCTTCCTGCGTTTCTGTGGCTACCTGCCGCCTGACCCGTGGCTTCCCCGCCATGTCGGAGCGTGGCTACGGCTCCGACCCGGAGCGGCGGCGCCGGGCCAGCCCGGGGCGTGGGCCCTACGCGCGGGACCCGCGGGACACGCGGGACGTGCGGGACCCCTACGCCGGGGTGCCGACGGCCCGGGCGGGGCACGACCCTTATGCGCCTCGGCTCTCCAGAACTTGAGTTGAGTTGATGCGGTGGGCTCCTACTTGCCCTCCCATCCACTAACATGGAACCTGACTGACTCCTGGAAGACTATGTTCCCTTGAAATGGACCCTTTGGTGGGTTCCATGTTTGTGGATGGGAGGGTGGGCGTTTGAATGGTGTTGACGACATGTGGCTGGCCCAATGCTGGCAGAAGGGGTTGTCTGGGGAGCTGCCGTGCTTTTGCGCCTGGGTGCGGCTGATCGGGTCAACTATGAAACCCTCAGCTCCTCCCGGTAAACATGTTTAGTGTAATTTGAAGATATGTCCAAGCAGTGTTTGCAAGTGAGGCATGTACCATATGCGACCATGTGATGAATTTGTCCCTCCATGTGAGAACCCTCGCAATTCTTCCCTTAAATGTCATCCAACAGGGTGCTCTCAAAGCATGTTTGGTCCCAACGTGGGCGATGAGTTTGCTTGAGTGGCGCCGCGTGCTGCCCACGATTTTTCCAGTCTGAGGACCGTCGTGGCTACGACTACTACAGGGATGCTTATGGGTACGACCCCTATGACCCCTACCGGCACGCCTATGGACCCCCACCCGGGCCTCCACCTGGGCCTGGGGCATACGGAGGCGGCTACTATCCTCCGCCCTCCTATGGCTACGGCCATCCGCCTCCCGGCTACGGACCACCTCCTGGATACCCACCCCCAGGCGCGACCTGCCGGGGTGCGTGACCCATGACATCCTGTGCTTTTACCTTCTTGTTTTTTAAAGGGGACCCCTCCATATGCAACCAACAAGGGAACCCTTTCCTTGGTGGGGACGGCTTTTAAGACCGTATGAGAAGCCGGCGCTTTGGCAGGGCAACGGTGGGGAGGCTTGGCACATCCGAGCCTTGCAGTGAGGCCCATCAGATTTGGATGGGGCCCAATCGCTTTCTAGTGCCAAGCGTGGAGCGCCTCCACTTAGCTTGATTCAAAGTGATGCGGGGTTGACCCAAATGGCGCCCGGAATTTCAATTCATGGGGAGCCTCACAAAGGGTTGGACAAAACCCGCCCCATGTACACAATGTCAAACGAAAGAGGCCGCAATTAAGGATTCCACACCCAAAATCAAAAAAAAAACCCTTTTGGATCAAGGTTTGCAGCTGCAGAGGGCTTCCCTTTCAGCTAATTCAAGGGGCATGTCCTGTTTTTGCGTGGGCGTACCTTTCTGTTGGTCACAGTTGGGTGAAGGTGGATTGCACACCCTCCCCATTTAGGTTGCATCATCCGCTTGACGTGAGGACATAAAGGGGATATATGATACATATATATATATGCATTTAAATATATATATATATATATATACATATATAAATATTGCTATTACATACACTGCTGCCATCTACTTTCACCCTTGGTGTGTATGCAGAAGGGGCCTTTTGAAGACCCTTACTAAAACGGCCGCTAAACCCGGCGGCTGATGATCACCAAGCAAAATTCCTTTTTGGGGTTCTTTCCTCAACCGGCAGAGGTGTACATGACTCGCCCTTTCGCCGCACATTTCACCCGGGACAACCTCAGGCCACTACCCGCCGCCGGGCTATGCGCCGTACGGCGCTGGCTACCCCCCGCCCCACTACCCGCCGCCGCACGCGCGGCCGCGCTCGAGGAGCGGCGCGCAGGGCTCGCTCCGAATGAGAATCTGCCCTGTTTTGGTGGTGTCAAGCTGGGTGCGTCGCTTTTTTGAGGGTTCCCTCCCAAAAAGAAAATGCAACCTGTGCAGGGTCTATGTTTGCTTTCTTTAAAGAGGACCCCAACATAGTCACAATAAAGAGGATCCGGGCCGCTTGTGGGCAACCCCCTTTGTATGATTGTTTGCCCTTACTTTCTTGTAAAGAAGTTATCTTAAATTTGATGGTTTGGGAACCACTTTGTTTGCATTTTTTTTGGTCTGACTTTTTTGTCCAGTTTGTTTTTTCATTTTTGCCCGATTTTTGTTGGGGCGGTGGGAAAACTTGTTGCAATTGAGGACCCCAAAGCAGTCACAGGATCCTGACTTAGGAAAAAAACCTTTACGCAATACAGGCTCCTGGCATGAAAACGAGTCCCACATTCCCGCAAGCTTGTTGGAGGTTGCTGAACAAAATGGACCTTGGCAGTACTAGAGTAGAGTTGGCAATACTAAAGTAAGTACTGGGAATCTGAGAGTAAGCCTCGGAGAGGAGGGGGGGTAAATTAAAGCAGGTCCAAGATTATTGACCACTTTTCTTTGAACTCCTCCGGGATGAGTGAGCAAAAACCGCCAATTCAGCAAACAGAAGTCAAGTCGCTGGAAAAATCAAGAGGAAAGCTAGCCACAGGAAATTGTGTTGAACCATGCGCAAGTATCAACTAGATGCCAGGGCTTCCGTCGCGCGAACAACCCCGCCGCACCGAGACGCTCCAAGCCGTAAGGAACGCTGGATCAAAGGGGCCCACCCAATAGAGCATCCAAAGCCCATCGACTGCCGGTTTTATTCGCGTATGGGCAAATTCCCTCGCCATTTGGCACGGATGAAGGCTGGAGTTACTGGGGTGCACACCCTGTTAATCGGTGCCTGGTTTTGGCGAAATCCACGGTAGGCCTTGGCCTTTGCACCCGAAGCCGCAATTCGACTGTGCTGCATTTTGCTAAGGGATGTTAAGACTTTGGCTTTTTGCTAACTAATGGGTTTTCCGAATTAAACCCCAAAAAGTTGGTTATTTTTAGCAGGGGAGCAGAAGGCAACCGAGTCGAAACTCGCCTGGCCGAATAAATTTTTCACGCCAGGAGCGCGTCCGTGGAGCGAGAGCGGGGCGGCAAGGAGCGAGGCGGCAAGGGCAGAAGAGCCAAGGACCCGGTTGAGCGAAAGGGACGGAAATCCCACCTGTGGAAATCCCTTTAAACAAATATAATATATCCGTGCGTGCGCTCGCGTGTGTGTGTGTGTGTGTGTGTGTGTGTGTGTGTGTGTGTGTGTGTGTGTGTGTGTGTGTGTGTGTGGGTGTGCGTGTGCGTGTGCGTGTGCGTGTGCGTGTGCGTGTGCGTGTGCGTGTGCGTGTGCGTGTGGGTGTGGGTGTGGGTGTGGGTGTGGGGGTGTGGGTGTGGGTGTGGGCGTGGGTGTGTGGGTGTGTGGGTGTGTGGGTGTGTGGGTGTGTGGGTGTGTGGGTGTATGAGTGTGTGTGTGTGTGTGCTTTTTTGGGGGGGGACCCTCCAAAATTGTGGTTTTCCTTTGGTGTCCATGTAAACCATGCAGAAAGAGCATCCTCAATGAAAACACACACCCACAGGAGCCCCGGAAGCATCCTGACACAGCCCCGGAATGTTTGGCTGAAACCCTGCCGAATCCCGCCCCAGAGCTTCCCTAACCTTGGTTTGGCTAAGATCCCACGCCGTTGGGGGAAAGGCAAGAAGGTAGCCATGACGACTTGCCTGAGGTTGGGAGAGGGAACTGTTGTTTACTAACTTTGTGTTTGCTGACTTGGTGTTTTTGGGTTCCATTGTTTTACGGTAGGCTTTCAAGTGGCTCGGCCTTGAGTGCAACATTTCTTTTGGGGACGTACTGGTGAAACTTCGCTCATTCTTTGAGGCAAACCTTGATTATTTGTTGCTCGGGAAACGAAGGGCCTTTCTCAGGAGCTGTCGTGGTCTTGACTGAGTATCCACAACTCGACACAAAGCACGATCGGGGAACTGCGGGAATTTACATGTCTCAAATTGTTTACTTGCAACATTTAGGTCATCCACAACTTTGTGCGTGCAAACTTCCCCTTCTGTACTCCCAACTTGTTCCCACCAACATGAACTTCGTATCTGATCTCCACCCCTACCCGTCAGAGTGAATCCAGCGCTGCGCAGGGCCAGGACCAGAGAAAGCGGAAGCGCGAGGCCTCGGCAGAGTCGGACCAGGACGGTTCCAACATCAAGCTGACCCTGGCAGAGGCGGGGCTTTTGGGGCGGCAGCTTGGGTTCGGCAGCCTGGTTTGTGTCCCACTTCGGTGTATTCCCGGGAACCTCCATGAAATTTATAAGGGGCCACAACTGCAATGCAAACACAACCAAATGGTGCGGAGGCGACTTTTCGGAAGCGGCATTAACCAAGGGTTGCTCCACTGGGCTCCTAACAGGAAGGCATACTATAAGATATTTCAACTACCACTTCAAGGCGGTAGTCACAAGGCTTTCCCAATTGAGATCGTCCTGACGGGACGACCTTCCCGACCACTGGTAAACTTGCTTACTTAAAACATAAGAGCTAAGAGCACCACCCGCGGAGCATACCCTCCCAGACACTAACATGGAAGCCAATCAAAGTGACCCTTTTCTTTCCGCTTTTCAACACAACTTTTCAACTTTTTGGGTAACATGGGCTATATGTCTGCAAAAGATTAACTTCCCCAGGGCTTGGAGTTTTAAGGGGTAAGTTTTCGAGGAAAATATCCAACGCAAGAAACCCGCCAATCAGGTTCCATGCTAGTTGCCGGGGGGTACAAAGAACAGACCAAGAAATCAATCTGAAAAGCGGACCGACTTATATCCGACATTCGGTGTTTTGCACACATCAACTAACGTAAGCAGATCCTTTGGCAAGTGTTCTGTTCAACCTTATTTGCTTTTGGGTCGTTGGAAGGCCGACCTGAGATATGAAGGGCGTGTTGGCTGGATTCCCCCCTGCTTCAAATGCTGTCAGGATTTGCATTGAACCATATTAAACCTAGATCGCCATGCTTGCAGGACTCAATTCCACAGATTTTCTTGCGCTGCTCATGTTGGGCACTGACAAGCTTCCTTGCTTCAGACCCTCCAGTCGACGAAACCGCCCCGAACCTGCCAAAATCGTAGGACATTCGGCGGCTTCCAATGGCCTTCTTTCCCCACCTCCCTAAGCATGAAAGGGGCCCTACCGCAAGAAGCCCTTGATATGAGGCGCAACACCTTCCAATGGAGGTTCTCAGCCCAACTGGCGGTGTTTTGGCTGTTGAGTTGGCAAGCTTCAAGGTTTTCGAGGTGCCTTCGTTTGAGTGTAGGCCTGCAACTTGAGAACAGGAGCCGGCCTTGAACTCGGCAGATGTGGCGGGTGGAGTTGGTGGCATGAAGCAGACTTAGAACCATGGAGATGTTGTGCGGTGCATTCCTCCATTTTTGGGGCAGTGCGTTGACATGCAAGTGGTGCGGCTGTGGGGGTCAGCGCGCAGGGAGTTGGAACATGGCGGATCGATCCCCCGGGGGTTGAAGACCAACAGGACAGCGAGGCCCATTCCAAGTTTCCATCTCATACGGTGGATGGACGAAATCCTGCACCACTTCGAAACCATGAGAAACCCATTGTTTGTTTGTATTTACAGGGGGATCATCATTCCAGGTTTTCTTAGGTGGGGCAGGGTTTCGTCCATCCACGTTAGCGACCGGCAGGTCTTCCCGCGGCTGGTCAAGGCCGCGCAGGCCAAGCCGGTGGGTTGGGCCTTGTGGGTTTGTCCGAAACCCGGGCCTTGTGGGTTCCATGTCTCTCAATGGGCCTTGTGGGTTCCATGGCTGGACATGAGTGAGGAATGCAGTCCCAAAGGCTTGGACGCAGACCTCAGTGTCCACCAGAGCCATGGAAGGGCCTGTCACTTCAGAGCGGCTTGGAAAACGCCTGGCATTCGAGGATCAAACGGGGAGCTGGAGGAAGCTACTGGCTTCCTAAAAGGGTGCCCTATCCCCGTCCCCTCCGAAAATTGCTTGGGGGAGGAGGGTGACCTCATTGCAATTCTGTTCAGATGATATAGTTCCACTTTCCCGTTTGTCAGGACACAGCACCCCCTTTTCCTTGGGGGAAGGGGAGTTTGGGGGATGGGACCTGGCCTGAAGCGAGGAGCAGGATGGGAGCCGGTTCCTGCAGTGGAAGCTCTCAGGCAACTGCAACGAGGAGGAGAGGAGTTGGTTTGCGGACCCAAAAGGTGAATCAGTTTACCCAATGAGAACCCCGGATCAACAAGCCCCTGGTGTATGAATAGGGGGTGTCCCCCTTTAATGGGGCTTCATTGCCTTTGGATGGAACACCCCTCTACTAATGCTGGGCTGACTGCTGAGGGGGGACCAATCAGTTGAATGTTTCCGAGAATCGGGGACCGTCTTTGGAAGGATGTTTGAAAGGAAACGAAAAAGAAGCCGCTGCCACTTGGAGGATCCCCCAATTTAGAGATGCACTAGTACTCTTGTATAGTAACTACTACCTATGCCTTTTTTGTCCGACATGGCTTTGCCAGTTCAGACTGGCAAAGACCAAAGGCAACGGAGATTCAGCCCGAAATCCCTAGACCATTGGCTTCCTTACCCTGTGGATCCATGTGCCCGTATAGTATACGTATAGTATGTAGGTAGGCAACCGGCAAAGGAACATGGCGGGTTACCTACTATAGAGGTGTGTGGGATCCTTTGGACGATCCAGCTTCAGAGAACGTTGAGCTTCATGGGATGGACAGAATCCACTTCGTAGCAGTTGGGATTGATGCAACCGTTGGTTCTGCTGAAGCATCATTTTTACAGGCAATAGTGCCATTGTGAGCTTTGCTTATCAGGGGTAAACGGCCTACCAAATGGTGCGAGGCGGATTCTGCCCATCCATTTGCTGAAGAATCGAGTT